AAAGAACTTCATATACATAAATAATTAAATGAAAGCTCTTAGTACTTTCCAGAGAATCAGGATTCCAATTTAAACTAGTTCCTCTTGGACAACATCTAGTTTCCTATAATCTGGTGTATGTAATATTTAAAAATAAAGCCCATTTTTAATTCTGGTATACACTGTAACCCCAAATGGGGTCACCTGACACTTACTCATTGATGTCATCAGGTGAGAAAGCTTCAGGATCAGGAGGCAGGGTGCCTTCTCTGTGGAAAAAGGATGGAGTTTAAGGAGAGACACATGAGCTTGAATCTGGACTGGCTCTGCCATTGGCTGTAGGAACCTCAGGCAAGTCTCTCTGTATCAATGAAGTTCCATGACCTCCTCTGTGAAATGGGAAAACCGTCTACCTGGTGATGTCTTGGTGAACATCTGGCACATTTTAGGGGCTTGAAAAGAATAGCTCTTATTATTACTTCTGATTCACAGAATTAGGTGTCTACAGCTGAAATGAATCCCCAGGGAAGGCCTATTTCGCCTCGTGGTAACAACCTCTTAGAGGTCGAGGCTGGGCCTTCCAGACCTACTCATGGGCCTCCCAATAGACTTCCACTGCAACAGAAATGCTTTTCTGCCTCTTTACAATTGCAACCCAAAGGTCAAATCAAGTCACTCCCCACCCCACCCCGCAGCACAATGCAACGACAGCATTCAGCAAGCTCCCCCTGCCCTACTTTGTGTATAGTGGGGGTGGGGAGGGCAGGGCTAACACTGCTTCTCATTCCAGATTCTGCAGAACTCTACATTTCTCTGATCTCAGCAGACATGTTGCCAGAGTCTCCCTCTCTCACCTCCTCAAACCCCGCCTTTTCTTGAAATTTTAGCAGCATCTCCTCTCCACTGTCAGGCCGCCCAGGGAACCCAAACACTCTCCCTCTGGCCTTCTGCTGAGCAGACTTAGCCATGGACCTATCCTCAGGGCTCTGCTTCCACAGAAACATGACCCAAAAGGCAGTTCTTTCTCTGAGATCCTGGGGCCAGATTTTTAATATTTACATATATAACATAAGCACAAAATGGTATAAAAATCAAAATATACTTAAAAAATTGTCTCTTTCACACCCATGCCCAGTAACACATTGTCGACACTTCCTCCCCTACCGTTATTGGTTCCTTGTTTATCTTTCCAGAGGCACTCTATTCCTTAGAAAACTTCTGTGTGTCTCTCTCCCTCCCTTATTTATTTATTTGTTTGATTTTATTTCCCTTCCTTCCTTTCTCCCTTCCTTTCTTATAAATGAAACATACTGTATTTTTAGATGCCTTGTTTTTTTTAACTTAACAAAATCAGTGCATAGTTTAAGGCCACTGTTAAATTTAGACTTTTTCTGTCCTCTCAGTGTTCTCCAAACCTTTATGCTATGTCACCCCTTTTGTTAAAAAATTGCTGAAGGCATACCAAAATATGTATAATTATTCACTCATTTATAAAGTATAACCATGCCACTACTATACTAATAACATTTATACTATGAAATATTAATTAAAATGGAAACTTTAAAATGATAAAGGATGAAATTTTAAATAATTCTTAAAAATTGATTTTTAGTACAAAATATTTATACTTTCTAAAATATTACTGTTAGTATTTTTAATAGGAGCAATGTGTTGAATATGCTTTGTCATGTTTGAAAATCTTGGGTTACCCTTTTGTGAGATAACATTCAAATGTCTGGTTATATGTTCAGTTTATTTGGACACTTGGTTTCCAAGTCCATCAGAGCTGAAAAAGACACATTCCAGAGATATAGATCCAAATGGAAGCAATACCTCATTAGATGAGCTTTATTAACTCCCAACATGCATTTTTCAATCCCATCTTTTATGTAAAGACATTTGTTGAAATTTTTCCTGAGTTAAGGATTTTTTTTTTTTTTTGGTAATGCACACACAGTAAATGGAAATATTTCCAAACATCTGTTTTCAAAATGCTCTCGCCATAGATTAAATTTCTTTTGAAAAGAAATTACATTCTCACTAATTTTTAAAGTATCACTTCTACCTTGAAAGGGCAGATTATGTGTTTACTTTTTTAAAAAATATCTGCTAGATGACATACAAACGATAGCCACTCACTCATCTGCAAGCCTTGTCTTTTTGTCAAAGAAAGAAAGAATGCAGGACCCATTCTCAGGTTCTACAGCTCCCTTAAATACACTGCCCTGAGATAGCCCACGTGGTACGAGAGACTGACCTGGCCATTTCCCATCGCCTGGCAAAGAGTTATAGAGCTCCTACTATTTGAAGACTTTGTTTTTATGAAATGAACCGTATTGATAACATCCTACAGGCATGTACATCGCAGTCACTGGCAGTATGCTGGACCCAGAAGCTTGAGGAGATGCCTCACCCGTCCTCACTATAATTCCCCTTGTTTATATAAGTTGTCTGCTTGCAATAACGGCAGTCATGTGACACCTTCTGCCTGTCTCTTGTCTGGACTAAGGGAGGGCACCTTAATGGACTGGTGTGTCTCATGGAGGATGCCTACCCCACTGGGAGAGTCTCTCCACAAAGGACTCTCTCCAATTAAATTCAAAATTTTGCTTTTCTTTAGTCTCTGAACTACCCTACCCTCCCTTCTTTTAATGTAAAATACCTGGCAGATTCAGTCTCCATAGGACTGTAGCCTCAAGGGACTTGGCTAGGGTTGCTCTGGGAAGGCCTGGCATGTTGTCCCCAACAGTCCCCACTGGCCTAGTGCCTGGGACAGGGAGATGATAAAAATGACAACATCTAAAATAATGACAACATCTACCACTTCCACTTATTGAGCTCTGATTTTGTGTTGATCCCTACTCTAAGTGTTCCATAAGAACACTCCATTCTGCCTGTTCACTGTAGATATTTTCTAGAACACCTCCCTAAACACTGAATTAGAGTTCTGAAACACTGCTCCCAGGGAAATCCAGGATTTGGTTCCTACTAGCCTTTGGTCACAACATTTTGGTCATCCAGTCAAAACATAACCTTGTTTTATGTGTGTTAAAGAAAGCTTATTTAACATATATTGTTGCTTCAATAATATTGACCTCATAGCCAACAGCATATAACTCACGCCTAAACGAACCTTATCTAACACACATCTTTTCGCCATAAGGCACATCACAGCCTTCTTGTGCTCAAGAACACTAGCACTTCAGCACTATGCTTGGGAGTCCTTTTAAATAGCAAAATCACCAATAAAAGCACAAAGATGCAGAAAATGTGGCACTAAGTAGACTGCCAAAAGGATGTTTGTTTACATTGGGAGAGCTGAAACAAGAAGGCAGTGTTGCCTCGTTTGACCTCAGCTGAGAATGTGCACATTGGGTAACTCAAATTCGTCATCACTCTGTGCATGTTCACAAATGACCACGAAGTGAGCAAGTATTGATTTGGGGATTACAAGTCAATTTTAATCAGTAGGGGATGCAAATATGGAATCCACTAATAATGAGGCTTGCCTATATCGTCTCATGGTTCCGTGGTGAAACAAACATGGTTCCTTGTCATCACTATGACAATGATATATGAGCTGGAAGGAACCTCAGAAATCTCTTCTGGCTATCTTCTTTGAGACTTTGGGAGGCCAGTACAGTGAGATGACTTATCCAAAACATCCAGTGCATGTGTGACACACCTGGGACTAAATCCCAGGTCTCCCAGCCACAGTTGGTGCTCCTTCCACTATATATTATTGGGACCAAATGCAACTATTTAACTTGCATGTGGGGCTATATGCAAAACTTTGTGCACACTTCCCCCAGTTTATTCTCTGCAATAATTAAAATTTGCTTTTGATCAGAATGTTCAATTTGAGGTCTCACAGTATATAGGCACAATGAACAACATGTATAAAAAAAAAAAAAAAAAAAAAGGAAAATCTCAACCCTGAATGAAATCAGGAACAAAATGAGAAATTAAAAGAACTCAATAAAATATCTTCAGCAAGAGGCTTTGACTTTTTAAATTTAGTTCCCCAGTGAGCCAACTCATAGATGGGTAATATGAGGGGGAAATGATGTGGAAAAAGCCAAATGTGCTGTAGAATTAGAGATGTGAGCATGTGATGCATAAATAGGAAAGATGTGCCGAGATGTGATACTTTAGTTGGAAAATTACTCATGTATGCATATTTATAAATGTATATATTTTGATGCAAGATGATCTCAAATTTTTTTGATATTCCAACAATTATTATACAAAATTAGGTTATTCTTTATTTGGCTAAAAGAAGTACAGAATTTAAAACCCAAATTAAAAATGGCTCATAACTAATGTGGCCTGCAGGCTGTTTGATAAATGCGTATATTTCAGATGAACTAAAAAAAACAAAACAGAAGAAAGAAAGAAAAGGCAAAGATTTAGTATGTTCTCTGATTAAGATCCTCTGCTTACCGTCAATCAGTACATCATTTCTTTTACATATAAGATTTCTAATTCAAAGGGTTCCAAGCTACCTTTCTTGCTAAGACTTTCTACATTCCAAAGTCTGTTCCTCACCACTATTATAAGGTCACCCATTCCTCTGGAATGATGTCAGATGTTCTTACCGGATATTTACCAAACACCTTCGGATGCATGGTATGATAAACTTTTCTGTTATTTGTAGAACAAGATGTAGTTACAACTTTATTCATTTACTGCACTTTTCACATCATTTTAGAAGGAATTTAAAATTCCTATTCAAGGCCCCAATATCCCAGTTATTTATCCATTTCCATCTGAATCGGTGTCTCAGAATCCATCCTTTCCATCCCTTAAGTTAAAAGATGTAATTCTAACTCATGCACAGCATCTTCTTACAGTTAATTTTGTAGTGATCCTCCAAAACAGAACCTCACTTGTTTCAAGGATAATTTTTATTGATGAGAAACATTTTGCAGATTTTAAAAGATAATTTTCCTATTTATGTGACATTTTCTGTTTTGAAAATTTTCTTTTCAAAGATTAAAATCCCTGACGTTCTCTTTTAGGAAAGTAGCTGATCCATCAATAAGGATCCCATCCTCTTTCAAAAATGAATCGATTAATCATGTCAAAAGATCTCAAAGGCTGATCATAGGGCAAAATGTGGCCTCCACCTCGAACAATTACCTTAAAGAAGAAAAACAGAAGAAAAACTGAAATCTAGAGAATCGGATATTCCAGATAAATGGAAAGTTTTAATTTGGATTTAAGTATTCTTAAAGCTTACATGAAATAAAGAACATATTATATCAATCCATGCCTTTGGATATGCTGATTGTCTGCTTTTGATAGCATTAATAACAGGTACCTTAAGGTAAGAAAGTTTTAAGATTGTGTAGTTATTCAATTTTATACCAAGTTGCGTTCATCTTTGACATGTATAGAACTGGAAAATTCCTCCTTGTCTTTTTCCTTTTGGGACGGAGCTGTCTGCGCCTCTGTGCTGTGCTGTAATTCTTACCCGGTTGTGGCACTAAGGTGGGGAGACCTACCCCAGACCAGCTCTGCCTGCAACTGGGTGGAGGAATCTACCTAATTCCACCCTTCAGTTAGCTGGTCCACTTGGCTGTCACACTAAGCTATACCTTCCACCTTAGCCTGTACCATTAATAAAGGAGATATTTTGATCCTCCAAAAAATTAAAACAATAACAAAAGAGAAATCCTTGATAGCTGAAATTTTAAGAGCCCATTTTTGAGCAGCAAAGAGTTAGAACATTCTATTTCTCCTGACATTTTATTATGAAACATTTTCAAACATATAGCAAATTTGAAAAAATTTCATATATGCACCATTTAGATATTCTCATTAACACTCACTTTTCTTCTTACAGATGGATCTCACTATTCATCTATTAATCCACCTTATCTTTTTGACACATTTCAAAGTAAAATGGAGGTATCAGTATACGTCTCCCCAAATTCTGTGTATAATTTACATATAACGGAATCCACTAGCCTTAGGGGTAAACTCAACAAGCTTGGATAACAATGGACCCCTCTGTCACCTCTCAGGATATATAAAGCGTCCTTAAAACTTCTGTAGATGAGGTGAGTTCAGACTCACACAAGAGCCTACAAGGGGCCACCCTTAACGCCAGGCTCTGCACTCGGAAAGTCTGGCTTCAGCCAATGTCCCAAGGACCTCTCTACAACAAGGGCAGGCCTTCATGATTCAAAAAGGGAAAGAACCGACACTGAGTGCTGGGAGGCCGCATGCAGGAGAGATCCCTGTGGCCTGAGGGGTCCTGTTGCACATGTGGAGAATGGACAGGAGTTAGTAGTGGCTGATGTAAGTGAACACATGCAGTAAAGCAATCACATTCGGTGACTTCTAGCAAGAATTAAAGGCTACTTTAAAAAAGTCCCTTTATTAGAGGCCGATCTTGTACCTGCATCAATCTGAAAAGAACTGAAGCAGAAAACAAAATATATATATATATATTTGCATAGTGTGTTGATTATATTACCCCCTCCCCCCAACACCCACCATCTTCCAACCTTGCTGTGAGATAAGTGGATCAACATTATTGGATGAATTTTATTTTGCAGCTTACAGCTGTGGAAGCTGTGCCCTGAACAACGGCAGAGAGCACCCTTCACAGCAGCGTTGAGGAGACTGTTTGGAGCTATAAGGGGGCTTGTCCAGGTCATACAGTTGTAAGTGGAGGAAGCAGCTAGAACCCTGGCTTCTAATGCAAACACCAGTGTTTTTAATCAAATTACAGTACTTACACAATAATTCCTTACTTTGAACAGAACTTTACGGCTTAGTCACAGAACGTTTCACTCGCCTCTGAACAGCCCTCTGAGGTAGGTGAGGACTGAGATTGGCCTTACCCCTCATATACCACTGGGGACATCTGCTCTATGCTACCCTCCATCAGCCGTCATCTGTGCCTTGCTGCTCTGACAGTGGCGTCCATCTACCATTTGTGTTCCAGCTTGCATCTGGAAACCCACCGTGTCCCACTTTTTGTCACGGACCGAAAGTAAACACATCTGTGACAAGAGCCCGTGCATGTGGCTCTGGAGGGGAACTTCTGCTGCCCCCACTATCCCAGGCTAGAATTCTCTTCCTGTAGCTTCTCATCCAATTCTCCGGCCTTGGCAGGAATCCGATGAGCGATTTCTATGCAGCTCCAGCTCAGCCGAGGACATTTAACGAAGTCATGTTTATGACAAAACCCAGCTGCTTAAGCTGGAAATGAGTTTGGTGGCAACCATCCAGAACAGTAATAAACTGAATACTCAGGAGCTAAAGGTCATCCTGTCTTCCAGACCAGAGCTGCCACTAATGGGGGAATAGCACAGTGCTTGATGGCCTGGGCTCGGGAGTCAAAGTGCAGGAGCACGACCAGAGGCACAGCAAGCTGTGTGACCTTGGGCAATGAACTTCATGTCTCTGAGTTTCTGTTTCCTTAACTGTACAACGGAGAATAAAATATTATGTCCTGGGATAGTTGTATAAGGAATTAATGGAATAATATTGGAATACTTGGCACAGTGCCTGGCCTGGGATGGTACTTAAGAAATATCAGCCGTTGTAATTATTCTTCCAGTAATTATCTCTATTCAAATTCCAAGATCAAGATGCTTGCATCAACCTAACCAACCTAGAACATTGTGTTCCTACATTAGCATGGAAAAATCTTGGTTTAAGCGAGTTAACACAGTAGTTCTCAAACAAACGTGCATAAAAGTACCTGAGCTTGTTAAAGCAGACTGCTGTGTCCCCTGCATTGGCAGGCAGATTCTTAACCACTGCGCCACCAGCGAGGCCCCTAAGAATTTGTGTTTCAAACAGTTCCAAAGTCATGTTGGTGCTGTTGGTCCAAAGACTACGCTTTGAGAACTGCTATTTAAACCAACTTTCTATTTTGTGAGAAACCAGGCAGTTCTGTTTTTACATCAAGGGAGAATACAAAGAGAAATGTGGTTAACATCTACTCATGACCTCACCTTAGTGTATTTTTTTCCTGATCACCTGCTCTCCTGGTGTTTACACACACACACACACTCACACACACGCATCCACCTTCTACATCCATGATAAACAAGTGGTAAAGAAGAGGTGACAGGGGTTAGGTGTTATAATTCTCATTCACAGTGAGTCGCCTGATCCCTGGTCCAGTTCTGAGCTGCCATATGTAATGATCAAATGACATCATAAACGATGCCGTTAAGATTGGAAAGAAAAGCTCATTTAGGAACAAAGTCTTTTTCACATACCACAAAATTCTCGATGTTCTCTATCAGATTCCTATACAGCATTTTACTGAAGTAAACCTCAGAAATAAATTTATGAGTGCTGAAAAAAAAAAACCCACTCTGCTGTTTATAGCCAAGCCACTCACCACTCACGAATCAAGAACACAAATCGCTACAGAGTTTTTAGAGCTGTGTAAAAAAATGTGACAGGGTCATGATTACGTATTTAAATGTGACAAGATTAATCTCAAGGCTCCCTGGATAGAAATGGTCTCATCACCAGAAACTGTATTTTTTGGGTGCTTTCACACTAGAACTGAAACCCCTAAACTCATATGTTCCAGATGTCATGAATTTTCAAAGGGTTATACAAAACACTTCAAAGCTTCATTCCACTTTACGTTTTAGAAAACAATACAATGCTCCCTGCAACTAGAAATATGGAACTGGCAATAAAGGTTTCTCAGTTGTGCCTTTTGAGATGAAATCTAGAGGGAAATTCACAATGGGTGTGTAGACATAGATGTGTCAGGGGAGACTTCCTGGGAGTCTTGGAGGAGCAGATCACCGGAAAATGGTGGGTGGGGAGGGGAAAAGGGATGCACTAAAGACAAAGGAAACTGTGAGTTCAAAAACAGTGGGGAGGGCTTCCCTGGTGGCAGTGGTTGAGAATCCTCCTGCCAATGCAAGGGACGCGGGTTCGAGCCCTGGTCCGGGAAGATCCCACATGCCAGGGAGCAACTAAGCCCGTTTGCTACAACTACTGAGCCTGGGCTCTGGAGCCCGCGAGCCACAACTACTGAGCCCGCATGCCACAACTACTGAAGCCTGCACGCCTGGAGCCCGTGCTCCGTGGCAGGAGAGGCCACAACAGTGAGAGGCCCGCGCGCAGCAGCGGAGGGTGGCACCCGCTCGCCGCAACTGGAAGGAGACCGCGCACAGCAATGAGGACCCAACGCAGCCAAAAATAAATAAATTAAAAAAAACAGAACAAAACAAAAAAAACCGTGGGGCATGAAACTACATGGCACGTGCAGTAATCCAAAAGAGGTTCCAGTTGTAAAGAGTTAGTGGGAAAGCAGAAGGGACAGTTGAACAGGTAAACCCCATATGACATGCTGCTGGGATGCATGGACCTTATCCTATAGGATTTGTGTGTGTGTGTGTGTGCGTGTGTGTGTTAAAATACACATAATATAAAATTATCATTCTAACCATTTTACAGTGAACAATTCAGTAGCATTTAGTATATTCACAGTGTTGTGCAACCATCACCACTATCTAGTTGCAGAACGTTTTCATCACCCCAGAGGAAACCCTATACTCATTAGCAATCGCTTTCCATTCCCTTCTTCCTGCCAGTCCCTGGCAATCACTAATCTACTTTCTGTCTCTATGGGTTTGCCTATTCTGGATATATCCTCGAGGGTTTTAAGCAGAGTAGTGATACGCTCAGATTTGCATTGCAGAAAGATGACTTAATATGTAATGAGGGGGCTGATTTGGAAGGAAATGATACTGGGGTAAGGAGGCAAATTAGGAGACTAGATCTTCAGGTGAGAGATGATGTAGGCTCATAAGACAGATGGTGAGAAGGGGAAGGGAAGAGAGATGCTGGGATAGAAATAATAAAATTAGTGATTAATCAGACACAAAGTTTAAGTGAAAGCACCCCCCCCCAACACACAAACATCCTCCCCATTTCAGGCTTCTGACATGTGCAGCTTTGCAAGAAGTGATGTTATTAACCAAGAAAGAAGAAAAGAGGCACATGGCAGAAGCAGGTTTGGGAGGCAGGTGATACAGGATAGTTTATAGTCCTTGTTTTCTACTACAGGTTGATACAGACACTCAAGAGAATCTTGTTTGTTAGTTTCTGATTTACACTAAATTTCTTTTATTATTTTTATTCCATTCCACATTTACAAACTCCTACCTTTTTGTTTTCAGACACTAACCCTGAGTAGAAATAAAATAACTATGCACTCGAATAAAAAATATACTAAAAAGAAAGGGTACTTGGTAGTGAGAA